AGGCCATTCTTCGCCAAAATCTCTTCGAGTTCGTAGGTTTGCGTTAAAAAAATGCGTATCCTTAGTCTTTATCTACTCGTTTAACAGGTATCTACACTAATGAAATATAATATTTGAAAAAGATCGTCACTTTCCCGAGTCTGCATCTTCCTAGTTTTACCACTAAATAATAAGATTACCGCTTGGTCGGCCTTAAAAAGACCTTTCAGAAAATGTATAACACTAATAGTTTAAACTCAAAGCCAAGGTATGTAGCTGTAAAAAAAGAATGAATAGAATAGGGAAGCCAATCTAAGCCAAGCCATTCCCCGACTCGCCCTGACTCGATCGGCGTAGTGTTTCGCCGCATAATATGTCCGATTTGTAACAAAAATTAGTGTAGTATAAACAAAGAATGCACAGTAACAAAAAGAAAACATAGGGAAGGGGTTATGTCCAATTATAAACAGATTAGTGGCAAACAAGTTTTATCGATGATCCAACAAAGGGGCAAATTGACTTACAAAACAATTCTATTTCAAAATGATCAGATAGAAAATGACGAAAAGGGCCCTTTTATAGCAAAAATGAAATGTTGGTTACATGATGATAAAATGCGCGCTCTTTAGAATGCGTTAGCTTTCAAGCGCCCTTTAGAGAGCTTGAATTTGTCGCGTTGATTTGAATCAATACATAACTCAACATTTCAATTTTGAGACTTAATCGGCTAGCCGAAGAAGTCTGAGACTTCTTCGGCTGAAATCCTTAATCGACTACGACATATATAAAATAATTGAAAAGGACCTTTTTGCCACGTGGATGAGATTAATTATGGTGGGTCTGCATAATTTTAGGCTCAAAACCGTTCCAACTTCATAATTTCAGGAATGGATCCCACAAACGTGCGCAAAGTCTTCTCGCTGATCATCGATCAGCTGGCCGGCGAAATCGTAATTTGGTGAAGACACAATATTTCTTGTGAGTTTTTGGGTTTTTAGATTTAAGTGAGATCAAGATATCATCTATTTTTAGGTCTACTCCTACTCCTCTACTCTGGTGAGAAGGTGGCCGTGCATCTCGCCCACAACAACCGCCTCTGCCTTTATTTGCGTCAGCTACCAAGCAACCAACGCACTTAGATCGAGTTTTTGATAAAATTTTAGGAGCCGAAAGGATCAGCAAAGAAAGACTAGTTTTCAATTCAATTCACCCAGAGATTAAATGCCTTTTTCAAATAAGTAATCCTTCAAATAATACTTTAGTTCATTATGTTGACCTTGGCAATATCAAACGCATTGATTTTTGAAATGAAATCTTATTCACGAAATGTTATTTATTTGTTAAGACTGTTTGTAGAATCTAGAAAGTCTACAGGCTAAGGCACAACCTTAAGAAAAGAATTGGGAAACAAAACTGAAGATTATTTGAACGATCTAATTGCTAATTTAGAAGCTCAAAAAAGAGGAAGATTTGTAGAAGCAATACTAAAGCAAAATTATTCCCAACATTATAAAATCGGGGGAAAATGCTACCTTTTTGATGCTACCATTTCCATTTGGAAAATGCTATCATTTCCTATAAGCGAGCCAATCTTTATGACACAGCTACGGGAATTCTCGAATTTCATGGAAGTTTGAGCGTTTTCACTAGTATAAATGTAGTGTTGAAAAGGATATTGGCCCCTTAGTCACAATCTACTGATTGGATTCAACTGGGGTTTTTCTGAGCGAAAAATCAGATCCTTGTAGGATTTCTGACCATGCAGAGTAATAAAAGTTTTCGAGATTGCGAAAGACGGTTTAAATCAACTTAAAAAGCATATCTTAGCAGAGCGACTTGTTGGCATGGTCTAACGTCTAACAGTTGAAAAGTACGAAATTCAGAAAAACTATATCGAAATTTAAAAACAAAAGAAAATAGCAGAACCGAGAGAAATCGGGTGGCAGAGGCGGTTGTTGTGGGCGAGATGCACGGCCACCTTCTCACCAGAGTAGAGGAGTAGGAGTAGACCTAAAAATAGATGATATCTTGATCTCACTTAAATCTAAAAACCCAAAAACTCACAAGAAATATTGTGTCTTCACCAAATTACGATTTCGCCGGCCAGCTGATCGATGATCAGCGAGAAGACTTTGCGCACGTTTGTGGGATCCATTCCTGAAATTATGAAGTTGGAACGGTTTTGAGCCTAAAATTATGCAGACCCACCATAATTAATCTCATCCACGTGGCAAAAAGGTCCTTTTCAATTATTTTATATATGTCGTAGTCGATTAAGGATTTCAGCCGAAGAAGTCTCAGACTTCTTCGGCTAGCCGATTAAGTCTCAAAATTGAAATGTTGAGTTATGTATTGATTCAAATCAACGCGACAAATTCAAGCTCTCTAAAGGGCGCTTGAAAGCTAACGCATTCTAAAGAGCGCGCATTTTATCATCATGTAACCAACATTTCATTTTTGCTATAAAAGGGCCCTTTTCGTCATTTTCTATCTGATCATTTTGAAATAGAATTGTTTTGTAAGTCAATTTGCCCCTTTGTTGGATCATCGATAAAACTTGTTTGCCACTAATCTGTTTATAATTGGACATAACCCCTTCCCTATGTTTTCTTTTTGTTACTGTGCATTCTTTGTTTATACTACACTAATTTTTGTTTTTTAGGAATGGAGAAAGAATTCCACCGACAGTTTTCTGACTTTCAATCAAATCAGAAGTGAAGAGAAAACTTTCGAGCGAGAAATACGCAAAATCGTCATCGTTCTCCAACAATTGCCGAATGAAGACTTCAAGCCATGGAAAAAATACAAAAACTTATGGCGCGATTCTCTCTTCGAAATGAATCAAGAGGTGCTTTACAATCATGGGATTAAAGGCGATTTGGACAAACCAAAGAAAGTCGTTAAGGCAGAGGAGGTCCTTGACCTGTTAACGACCACTCACCAACGACTTGGGCGCGCCGGACGAGATATAATGTGGCAAGTACTACGAGACTATCATGGGATCTCAAAGGAAATAAAACTTTTGTCAAGTCGTGCGCAGAATGCGAGCTCAAAAAGGAACACCAAAGAAAGGAATGGTCAATTTGAAGTTTTCGATCATCTAATGGAAATATTCACTAAAATCATAAAATAGAAAGAATTCCAGAAAGGACAGAATGGCGACGGCCTGGTGAAAACGGTGCTGGTCAACACGTTGACTCTTCAATCATTGTTGGCAGTTGCGTCTGGAAAATGATTCTTAAAAAGTCAACATTTGCCAAAAATAAAGAAACCGATAAAACAAATGATACCTTGGTTAGATCGACGTTTTGGCGGAGAATAGCCACGCAGCGTGCCCAGCTTCACCTAGATTTACAATTTACTCGGATGCTTTTTGATCTCGATGATAGCTACCTGAATACATAACTTAACACCTAACCGTTTCAGGCGTAATTAATTTTAATAAAAACAAGCTTTTGAATCAGGCTTAGTCTTATTTTAAAGTTGGATTGTTCTTGAACAGGGCAACCAGAAATGCGCGTAGGTGGATGGACCTGGGTTCCATAGAAAGGCCAGTAATCAGGGTGGAAAAGTTTATGGTTCTTGAAAAGAAGCTTCCTTTCCTGTGCTAGTCTTGCAGCGATAAAACTTACATGATACATACGAAACCTGAGGAACATTTTCCTTCGAAAATTCTTGGAGAAGAGGCAGAAAAGAACAAAATTCGATACCTGGATGAGAGTTTTTTTGAAAGCAGAGGCACTGACCTTTCCCCACAGCAGAACCGAGTTGATGATATTTGACGAAATGTAACGAATTTTTTGATTTGGCACAACCGGTGCCAATGAAAGAAACTGCCAGATTGATTCAGCCAAATCCCACACAAATGGTAAGCATGAGGGAAACTAGAGAAATTTGTCACGACTCATTAAAAATTAGATTGCTCGCAAAGGGAAAATTCAAGCAGTGGGAAAACTTTTAGACCATCTCAACTCACATGTGTGAAGATGTGACAGGTGATAATTGCCACCACTGTTTGCGTCACTTTCCGTTCTTGCCTTTGGCGGATTCCGATCTCAGTGCGGTTTCTATAATTGAAGAATCGTGTTAGTCGTCCAAACTTGCCTGACCTACAATTCAGCTTCAATCTTCAAGTTCAAGTTAAATCAAAGTTTCGCGTCTTTTATGTTGTTGATAAATGTCAGAAAACTCACTCACCGCTTCCTAAGTATCCGAATAATTAAGAGATTGAAGAGCTTTCAGGGCATATTAAGTAACGGCAACAATAGAACAAATCGGACATATTATGCGGCGAAACACTACGCCGATCGAGTCAGGGCGAGTCGGGGAATGGCTTGGCTTAGATTGGCTTCCCTATTCTATTCATTCTTTTTTTACAGCTACATACCTTGGCTTTGAGTTTAAACTATTAGTGTTATACATTTTCTGAAAGGTCTTTTTAAGGCCGACCAAGCGGTAATCTTATTATTTAGTGGTAAAACTAGGAAGATGCAGACTCGGGAAAGTGACGATCTTTTTCAAATATTATATTTCATTAGTGTAGATACCTGTTAAACGAGTAGATAAAGACTAAGGATACGCATTTTTTTAACGCAAACCTACGAACTCGAAGAGATTTTGGCGAAGAATGGCCTAAAGGGGCCCACCGAAAGTTCTTCCTCCACTCCCGGCCATCCCCTCCGCCCCTCGATCAATCAAAGAGATCCAAGGGAGCCCAAATCAAACCCCATGCGGATCACTTGTAAGCGATCGCTCAACTCTTCTCTTGACTCCCCTCCCGAAGACACACAATGACACGCCAATAGCACCTGAAATTTTGCTTGATTTGGACAGGTAGAAATGAATGAGTCACTTATTTAATCTAGCTGCCAAGATTCGACAGGTTCTAGACCAACGGGGCTAGCCTACTTAAAGGCAAAATCTACGGTAGTCCAAAAACAACTTTTTAGCCGTTTGAACAACCCACCGAAAAGGATCAAGATGATCGACAGTAACACACGCGAATTGCCCCACTGTAATCGAGCGTGCATCGGCGACCGAATGCCGCTGAACCTGAGATACAAGGCAGAATATCTTTAGAATAATGCAAGTGAAACACCACAAAGTAATCTAAAATTTCTAATCAAAGAAGCAAAAGAAAGCGAAATCTCACACATTAGCCCCTCGGCAAATCCCTTAGCGGTGGTCCGTATCCCTGGGGATTTAAAGGCAGAAGTGTAAAAATGAAAATACTTTATACTTCTTGATCTTTCGATTCATTTTACCAAATCTTTCCCTATCTAACGAACCTTTAGAACGAGACAGCCACGGCTAACCACGAAGCAGACGCCGAGAAAATGTTTGACATTGAATGAAAAAAACATGGGTTTTATAGAAAAATTCTCTAAGATAAACTTTGGTTATCTCACTTCTTATTTCTTGCACCGAAATGGCGCACTTCGGTAGAAGGTTGGGTAGATGTTGAGAGCGTATGGGAAATGGCAAACCAAAAGAAGGATGTCCGCGAGTGCCATTGCTGCGAGCAGGATATTTGCCTGAAACTCCGCCATTTATCATTCTTAAAAATATTAGCGATTTAATTATTCAATAACCTTATCTTATCATGGATCTAAAGAACTTTTAATGATCTTTTAAAGTAAGATCGTTGCTGACCTTTTCAAAAAAAATTTCCGGAAAGATTCCCGGGTGACCCCGGAGGGAAAAAATCTATGGCTTTTTTCAAATTTCAAACACTACTACCTCCTAGCGCTAAATTTGAACTAATTTAGGCCTTCCTCGGATTGGTCTTTTTCTCTTTAGGTTTGTAGTATTTGTCTCAGAGAATGGTGCTTTCATAGTTGGTTGGTGAAAATTGCAGGGCTTTGAATTAAGGCTAAGACGATGCACTAAGAGCAAGTTAATGATACAAATCTTTTAATGATAATTTTAGCGGTTCCTATGTTTGGCCAGTAGCTTCCAGCCAAATTAGTTGACAAGCCAGATTTAACAAGAGAATGACCGTTGAATTAACACATTATTAAATTCTGGAATTCTTCGCCTGAAACCCACTAGAAGCAATTCTATTTTCTAAAGGAAATTTTAGTCAACCGAGGTTTGAATATTTGCAGTCGTTATTCAGCGGAAATCTTTACAATTTAAAACCTTTTCACAAATTGTAACTTTCGCCATCAAAAATATTTTCGGGATAAAAAGCCACGCGCCGCCATCAAAAATCTTTTGGTGGCCAATGTAGAACTACATAAAAACAATCGTAGCGTCAAACCCTTGGCCGAGAAATCGTTTCACTGATCTGAAGCTTTTGAGCTTCAGATCAGTTTCTATAATACTTTCCTCTACTTCATTTCTAGCTAGTAAAGTGGAAGTGAATTTTCGGCCATAGCATCGGCATCTTCAAGTAAATGTCTGGTCAGAATTGACTCTTGAAAAATATTAGGATCAGAAGAGTCTCGAGATACCAAGACTCGAACGTAGGACGCTTTTTTCGAAAAGATTATTTAAAAACAAATCAAGCCAAGAAGATCAAGCTTATAAGTCAATAAACCATCTAATTAAACTCTTAAATTCAAGCAAAAATAACAAGGAAAGTAAGGAGAGAAAATTGTTAAGGAAGTCAATTGATCGAATTAGCCTTAATCCTTTCGCATAGATAGTCGAACTTTGACTGAGATTTTCACCATTCATACACTGTACTAGGATCTTGTTAAATAGGCATTGAATATGATCCTAGTGAACGGTAACGTTCTGACGGTAAACCTAGATTCTGAGTTTTGATCGGAAGTTTTGATCGGAACTATCATTCAACGCTGTGTTTAAGAGCAACTACAAGTTGATCGATAAACTATACGTTGAGATACTGAGAAAAAAGAAAAGTTATCAAAAGTACAGTCCTAGCTTTTTAGCTTTTTTCCAACAAAAATTTTTTTTTCTAAAAATCTTTTAAGAACACTTTTCTAGACATAATTTTGGCCCAGAAGTTCGAATCCGTCGAAAAAATCAGGGATCACCCAACGAAAAAACCCTCTTATACAAATTGCTTTTTAAATTTGCTAATTAAAATTGCTCTAAAAACCCACCTCTTAAATTCGTGAAATTCAATAGCTTTTCCTTGTCCTGAAAATTTGAAATCATTCATTTAAAACCTGTGGATTTTACATGGTAAAAAGAATAAAGCCAAAATCTACTGGTTTTATCTATAAATGATTTATTTATAAATGATATAAATTATTCCACTAGCATTTAGAAATGAGAAACAAATTCGCACGGAAAACTAACGAAAAGCCATTTTTTGAAAACGTGAAAACATCCATTTTTTGGCTCTGCTGCCCTTTACTTTACTAAAATAGCTGTAAAATCTTTTAGAAAAGAGATATCTCAAGACGGTTTTTGTACCCATCGATCTGTATTGGATTCATCTTTAGCATGAGCTATAAAACGTATAAAAGATATCAAGGGTGAGAGAATTTGAACCGAGAAAGATTGAAGAAAAAGATCACCAGAAAGGCGAGAGTTCAATATTATTAGAGATTAATGTTTTCAAAAATGAACATGTTGCGGGCTGTGCATTGGCAGATGAATGGGTGGTGATGGCCAACAAACAGATGCCAAATTTGTTTTCCGCTGGGGCTTGTCTCAGTCTTAAAGCGAAAAGTAAAATCTATTAGCCTTTAAACCCCTTTTTGGTCCCTGGCTCTCGTTCTTCCCAAATCCAAGCGTTCTAATTAAATCTCGCGCTCTAGGGCAATATCCGTCAATGCCAATGGCTTCATGGTAGTAAAAAGGCATCCTCAGACAAGAATGTGTTATTTGTTCGAAAACCATCAACAATGCGCCAACAACAAAGTTCGGGGATGCCTTAAAATTATTTTACTGAAAAGTCATGTATTAAAGGTAGTGATTATTCCAAAGGTAGTGATTATTCATAATAATTGAAAGATATAAATCCAGTGTTATAGATGCGATCCAATATTACAAAGCCTGACACTAATCAAAGCATTTTCAGTACTGAAAGCATTTTCAGTACTGAAAGCATTTTTAGTACTAAAAGCATTTTCAGGCCTGAAAGCGTTTTCTGGACTGAAAGCGTTTTCAGTCCTGAAAACCGTTACAGTAATCAATGCTTTTCAGTGCTTTTCAGTGCTTGTCGCAATGTTTTCTAGTAAATCAAAGCATAACTAATACAGTAATTTCGGCAATGAAGATGCCTAGTCAACTAAATCAAAACTAAAAATTATCAAAAAATCATAGCGACATGTTTTCGTTGAGTCTTTGAACTTGAATATAAAAAGAAGAAGAAAATGAACAAGGTCACCCGTGCGGCGCAAATTTTTGTAGTCAAATTCATCTTTCTCTGAGAAAGAAATATTTGCCTTTTCGATTACGATTACGTTTTAATTTTATGGCAAAGTTTAATGGTGGTGGCCCATTAAAAATCTTGGGGTAGACCTTGCGCAACTGGGTCATTTGTATAACTGGGTGATTTGTGTAACTGGGCCATCTGCGTAACTGGGTCGCTTGCGCAAGCTCAACACTCAAATCCTCCATTAGATCTTGATGTGACAAACTGTAGATGTTCAGTCTAGATCAGAGTATTCAGTCTAAACTGTCTGGATTAGGGTATTCAATCTAGAATAGGTCCAAAATTCAATCCAAAATTGCTAGATTACGGTATTTAGCTTAGATTAGGGTATTCAGTCTAGATTAGGGTATTCAGTCTGGATTAGAGTAAATGTAGATGTAGATGGAAGCAATTGAACAAACCTATAGGAAACTGTAGATGTAGGATAGAAGCAATAGAAAACAGCAATAGAAGATGTAGAGTAGAAGCAATCGAAAAAAGCAATTGAACAAACTGTAGATGTAGAATAGAAGCAGTTGCTCTATAAATCCGTAAATCGACGGCTTGATGAATCGGTGAAGTATTCGGACATCCTCCATATCCACACTCGTAAGGCTTCTAAATTGCGGCACTTTGTTAAAATCTTCTTTTATTAGCTCACCGCATTTGAATGGGTTAGTTTCGTGTGTTTGCGTTCACTTCTATGATCACTCACGCCTGAAACAATGGATTTTCCTGTATTGAAGTGTATTGTATACCTCTCCACATTCGGTACACTTGAATGGCTTTTCGCCGGTCTGAAATCGTTCGTGGATTTTGAGATACTAGAGGCGATTATATGTGGCCGAACATCCAATAACTTCACATTCTCTTCAGTGTGCTGTCTTACGTGAGTTACCAACAGGTAGTTAGCTTTCCAAGTTCTTTCAGGAAATTCTTTTCCTCATCTTTATTTCTTTATCTTTTACTCCTTTTGTTTGACCTTCTTTTTCCGGCTCCTTCCGGCAAAAAGAAGAGCTTTGTGGAATCTCTCAAAAGTAATTTTGTAAAGAAATGGTCGACCATTTTGATGAAACAAAACGCGTATTTAAAGAAGGTTTTATGGGTGCAAAAAGTTTCTTTAAATTTCGGTGCCGACTCATTCTCCCCAAACCAAGTAATCAAAAGGGGATGCGCTAAAAGTTCCCAAACAGCTATTTATTTTAGAGCCAGTCAGTTTTGCAACATGAGGGCGCGCGTTGTCGTGGATGAGAACGATAAGATTTTCTTATATTTTAACCCTTAAAGCTCTTAAAGGCTTGAAATAAGCTTGGAAGCTTTATCACTGTCACACAATAATTGGCAGCCTCTCAAAACCCTTCAAATAGCCTCTCAAAACTTATCATCATATACAACTAATAGCCTACAACTCTATAAATGAGCAGTTTATATTTCAATTTTTTAGTTCGACAATTTTGAATGGATCAAACGGCCCTTATCGAGCAATAGAACGCACGGAAAGTCGGATCTTCGACGTGTTCAACAATACTGTGAATTCTGCCGAGGATTTTGTGAGATGACTTTGGCAGTTTTAACTAGAAAGCTCAAGTTGACATTCTCGTTCTAGGTCTTATTTATTTCTAAGTTTTTTTTGCTACCTCGGATCCCTAGTTTTGACCCTAGACTCCAGGTTCTATGAAATGCAGTTCATAACCAGTTCATGAGTGAAGTTAAAGAAAAATTGAAACGTGATTTCGTCATAATCTCCACAATTTTACAAGCAATTGAAATTCAGTGCTCGGCATTTAGGAGCACTAAATTTGAGTTTTCATTATTTTTTGTGTAACACAACATAACTTAGAATAAATGTTTTGACTCCGCCTATGTAATTAAAATTAGCTTAAAAATCAGATTTAAAACCAGAATGACAATCAACAAACTTTTGCATTTGTAGCTTGAAAGGCTGTCAAGCTTTGATGAAATTAGCTTCCCAACAGATTTTATAAGTTTCTTCTAATTTTAAAATCCATTTATTTCTGTTCTAAAAAGGGAGCTCGTTCCTCACCCTAAAGTTCGATTTAAGCCAATGATGCTAAAATAGACTCTGTGGTATCCAACGGTCTGAAACAGATTTAACTTGTAAGCAAACATAACTCTTCTCTTTCTGCTCTCAAAAAAACAATTGTCTCCCGATTGAATATAATCTTTTGTGAAAATCCGACGTCTTCACCAAATCATAATCAATGCCATTAGGAGATTTAGAAGCGATACTCAACTTTGGCGACTCTGATGGTTTAGTTTCCTTCTGAAAATTAAAATATCAAAAAGAAAATTTGCGCTCCGGTGATTTAATCAGTGTAGAGATTGAATCTAGTCAAAGGCAAAACAATAACTCAAAGTCCTCAAAAGCTTGAATCTGTTTGATTTTTACTTGGATTCTTGGGCAAATATTTCAAATATTTTTATATCGAATTTGGACTAAATCTAATCTCTACACTATGCTATTTAAGTTAAATCAAATCCAAATCATGGTTTTTGGAACATATATGGAATGCTGACAATAAACATGAGCTGCTGTTTTTCTTACTGGTTCTTTTTTTGCTTCGACTTTATTTTTGACTTGACTGAGCGATTTTTTAGCAAACGATGGTTTTTTTAGCAAACGATGGTTTTTTAGCAAATGATGGTTTTTGTTTCTTGATTGAGCCATTCACAAAGTTTCCGAGTGACTGGAGTCGCTTTTGCTGAAAATAAAAAAGATATTATGCAAGTGTTAATTAACTGTAGCCAAGGCTGGACGAGTCGCTCATTATTCCCACTTGGTACCAAGTCGGGCCATATTTTGCAACAAGCGGGCCTCCGGAATCTCCCTAAAAGCAATATTTAATGCTTAAAGGACATTTGCCTTGGTAGTGGCCTTTCCGCGACCACAGAAGGTGTCTTGCTCATCAAGACAGTCAGCGCGTAAAACGGCCTCTTGTACTTTGGCTTTTTCTCCTGAATAAAATAAGGTCAAGGCGCTAAAAAGGTTTCAGGTTTAATCATTAACATCTCAAATCTCCTTTCTCCTCTATATTGCTAACAGCTTTTGATTTTTACCGTCTCCCATTCCAAAAGCAATCATCGGTTCTTTCAGTGTCAAGCCTCTAGCTTCGAGACATACTCGCCTTCCGAAATCATCACTGGTGTCAATATCCGTTTCCAGCTAAATAACATATATTAGTGGGGCTGCTTTTAACATTGAACAGTAAGCCCACCTCTAAAAGAGCGACGTCACCATGTTCCCAAACGCGAGCCGTTTGACTTTGAGCTTGTATCTGAATACTCGTTTACTGGCTGCTAACTTGTCATACCTCGACTTTATTGCCTTGCCTGAACCTGTAACTCAAATAGTAGTACCACCGGACGTTTTTTCGGACGCAGCTTGCCGCCGTCATAACCCATTTTGGAGCAATGTAGGATCCGCCGCAATTGGTCTTCAGATTAGTTGTCCTCAAATTTTTTAGGTTTTCCCTTGTTAAAGTCTACTTGATTTTTCAATATTCAAGCAATATTCACTTTTTATTTATTGTTAAAAATCTGAATGAACAAACATCAACAGAGGGTAGACTTAGCAAAAAGCTTACTCATCCACGTGTTCCACACGAACAAAATAGGGGTAGCTGGAATCTCTAGAATCTACTCCTTGATGGATCTTGAGCTTTCTTGAGCCGAAGTTCTAAAGTCGAAAGGATTGTTTGATGATGCTTCAAAAACTCAATGCTCAAAAATGCATTTATCCACGTTGAATATTTTTACTTGAGTAAGTGACCTACCCACGAAATTGGGTCCACACTCGTTTTGCCGCAATCAAACTCTGGAAAACCATTTTATCTAACTACCTTTTATTACCCCTTTTCGGTCCCTGGCTTTCGTTTTTGCTAATTCCAAGTGTTTGCATTAAATCTCGAGCTCTAGGGCAAAATCCGTCAATGCCGTTGGCTTCATGGTAGTAAAAAACATTTTCAAATAAAACTGTGTTATTCGGTCGAGAATCGTCAACAATGCCGGTGGTTGCAAAGTTCCCAAGCTGCCTTAAAATCTTGTTGCTTAAGAGCCTTCAAATTCAATTGTTTTTTGGCTCTATCCAAACAGAAACTCTCACCCGTTTTTGGCAAAAAAGAGCAAAACCTTTCGGTAGCCCGGAGATTCCGTTATGATTTTTTTCAAATCTCCAAAAAGCCATGGGAGCTCATCAGAATGCGATGCGTCTAAAATTATTTTAATTAATTGTCGCGCCTCTCACATTTTCGACTATTTTAAAAAATGACGCTTTTAAAAACTTAAAAACAAACGCCGATTCTCATCCCAAGATCGGGCCGCCAAAGTCGCGTTATAGGTGTAAACAAACAACGAAGGAGGCACCCTAGCATTCCTTAGCTTTTCGACTTCGCTGACTATGGGAACATGAAAGACAAGGTCGGTCATTGACTAAACTTGAAAAACATAAGCCAAATGAGTCAGTGAGTTACGTTGACCACGACTTCAAACCAAAACCATTGCTCGGCTGTAATCACTGTCTCACTGGTTATTGTTCGCGTCGAATACAGTTTTGGATCGTACTTTTGAGTGTAAAAGTTCTCCAAAGTATCAAGCCGGTCGTCGGAAATCCCCATGTAGGCAGTGATAGTTTTGCGAAATCTAGCGCTAGAGTAATCCGTCCTGCCCATGTATTTCGCAAAAAGATTTTCTAAATGATTTTGAAAAAGTTTTCCAGAAGCGACAGACCAAAAAATGCCCACTCGCCAGTGGTAAGGCCGATGAGAAATTCATGTCCACGGCTTGATCTATCCATGGATTCGTGACCAGATTTGGGAAAGTAGTACCCATCAGCAAACAAAACCCAATTTTTCTCCTGTTTCTGAAAGCAAAAAGCAAAACCTTTTTTGCTGGGGCAAATAAAATTTGGGTGAAGAAAGGTACTAATGAGCATACAAAGCCCACCAGATCAATTTGTTCCAGCGCTTCTAGCGGGGCTTTTGTAAGGCATTTGTAGAGAAGCTCCTCAAATTCCTTGTCGTAGGGGTCATACAGGTTGGCGTTGCAAAGCTGAATGTGAGTTTTTACATAAAAAAACAAAAGATACTTCTTTAGCAGCAATAGCACTTGGAGACGCCGGACTTCCAGTCCCGTTAAAACAAATTTCCAAGACACCTGACATTAGTATTACTCGCTTGAAAAGTCCTAAAGTTCCTTAATTATTTCGGAAAAATCAATGCGCCTTGATCGACGGCAGTCGAGATGGCCAGCGCATGAGCAGAGCATGCCCCAGCAGAATGTCCAATCAATGTTATTTGACTTGGATCCCCTCCAAACCTAAATTTTTCGATAGGGTGACAGTTGATTGATTTTAAGGTCACTCATGAATATTTTTTGAGATGAATTTAATTGCCAAATGCGTGTCATCGAGTCCAAGATTTGGGTGAAACTTAGAGGACGGGAAATGTGGGTAGAAGAAACCTAAACTTGCATTTTCGCACATAAAAGTATTTTTACCCAGGACTGACAGCCGATACTGCACCGTGACCACTATAACATTGTCATGGCTAGATAAATTGCCCAAATTTTCGACGGTAAACTCGTTTCCACTTCCAAATTTATAGGCACCCCCGTGGATATAGACAATAACGGGAAGTAACGAAGAGGCGGAAGGCGGCTAAATTTCTTATGTTAATTTTATGTTCAAACAGACATTGGTCGGTCCAAAAACGTTCAAAAAAAGGCAATCCTCGCTGGTTTCAAGGCCGGGAAAAACTGTATCAAGAAACTTTTAGCTAGCCAAGCCTAAAAACCAACATTTTGCTTGAGGGCACGCTTTTGCAGGTTTGTCCATGCTGTTTCCAGGCTCATCTTTCCAATCATTTGCCAAACTAGCTCGCTAAAAATATCTTAAAAAAGCCGAGGCATCTCTTCCTATAACCTGAAATCTTTCTGGTTGATCGGCGTAGCGGACCCCGAGCCAAGCAGAAATCCCGTCTTTTAAAAGACGCCCTTGGGGCAAGCCGGTAGCCATAACTTTCAGTAGCAAAGCGCAGAAAAGAAGACGCATCTAGTCTAAATCTCCTTATGAGAATTCTGTTTGCAATTAAGAAAAAACGAAAAGATGTAGTTTGTCAAATCATGTGAACTTCTTACGAAATCAGGAGAGAAATGAGAGGAATGTTTTGAAAATAATGTTTTGAAGTGGGAGGGGCTTTCTACCCGCATTGATTCTTGAGGCATTAATTCTTTCTGTGCTTGTGGCCGCCGTAAAAAGGACCATTTTAGACTAATGTATTCTATTTTAGGTTCTTTAAAAATTTTAGAAAAATAGATTTTTTGAAAAATAAATTTAATTGAGCAAGTTGAACTTCCGAGCCGATTCAGTTATTGCAAAACTTTCTAATAATGAATTATTTCGAGCTCCAAGTTTAAAAATAATCGAATACGGCAACAAACAATTTCGAAATTCGAAGCATTTGAAATCTTTAAAGAATCATTAAACCTGTAGCCGGAAATTTTGTTTCATAACATTATTTAAATTTATTTAAAATTTCTAGTACATTATTTACCATTACATTATTTACAATTTTTCTTGGGACAGATGGATATTACACAGTTTTTCAAGATCATTGGCTCAAAATCAAACTGAAAGACAGCGTCTTAGAACAGAATCAGAATTGTTCAGAAATAGAACAGAAATTTTTAGAACAGAATGGAAGATGGTCGAGAATTCATGCTGGTTTAATGCAGATGCTCAAAATAACTCCTAAAACAGACTACCGTATTAATTTTTTTTTGAAAAACTTTGAAGAGGCGTTATCGCTCTCTTTGGATTAGATCTAAAGAAAAAGAGTCGTCTTGAATTAATGTCGTGGCATCATCGTTTCCTAAACATGCTCATAAACGTTCCCAATCAGTGTTAATGGGATCATAAAAAAAACGAAAAAGACTAGTTTTTAGATTTGTTTCAACCTGTAGCCGAAATCTCAGGATTTCATTTCAGCTGATTATTTACAACTTTTAGTTTTATTTTACACAGATGGATACTACACTTTTGATTTATTTCGATTATTTTGAGCTTCCCTGCCTCAAAATCGGCAAAAATCTGGAGGACCTAGTGAAGTTTGCTAAGGAGCATCAAGGATGGACTCTTCAGAAATGCAAAGCTCGTTTATTGAGTGATGAAATCAGGTTTTCCTACTTTGTTAATGGAATTGAGTATACGGGACGTCGCGAAAAAACCAAAGTGACAATAAAAATATGGCGGTGGAGACATTCTCGGGTAGCTTTTCTTGATGGAACTCTACCGCTCAAGCGAATCACATTCGCAGCTTCCAAAATTATCCAATAAGCCATCGTTAAATCTGCAAATTTCTGATCTAAGCCTTTTCAGTGTACACTCTTCCGAGTGTTTGCCAGAAATGCTCAAAAGGATACAGGTCGGAAAGTTGGCTTAACTGCTCCATAACGGCAAACTTTTGTGGCGACACTCCAGAAAGGCTTGATGTTTTCTTGAAAAGTTTAAATTTGGTTGATATTTTTTGTTTCTGGTTCCACGCAATGACACTTGCGAACTCCCAAACGCTGTAGCATCACACAGAAACCAAACACCTACTACGGTAAGGCATACACGAATTGCTTGTCAAGGGCAGAAGTCGTCAATGATAATGGAAGATAAAGACTCTATTCAACGGTCCAAGATAAAGATCTTTTATTTTTTATAGATCTTTTATAGCAACATCGCAAGCTTGAAGAGCTTTTTGACAAACGGCACAGGAAACAACGGTCAAGCAATAAATTTGATTTCGGGCAATTTTGGAGCTCGGAGGGCTAGTTAGTCATCAGTTCGGAACTTGAATAAAAGTCAGCCCCAACTCGCAATCGGGCGCTTATGGAGGCGGAAATCTAGGAAAAGAAGAAAAGAAAGGTGTAAAATGGCAAAGAATAAATTAAAATGAAATGAAAAGGATGCTAAAAATGATAAAAAGAGCGTGTCATCTCAAAAGTATTAATTTTTAGAACGACGTCGCGGCTTGCTGTTCAACAAACGGCAATGGGAATGGTGGTTTCTGCGTGAATGGAGCAGCCTTCTGTAACTGAAAGACGAGAATATATCTTGATTGTTATGGGCAATGTTTGTGTCTTCATTTTAAAGAATTTTTTACTGAAATGAAATTACAAATGAAATTCCGCTAAAAAACATGTAAAAAAACATTTTGAAATATCTAAATGCAGAGCAATCTGCACTCGGACAAGGAAAATGGCCCGTCGATGTCAGAAGCCGGTGGCAACTCGCCGAACCTTGCCGCCAGTCAGCCCCGATATCTTGTGGGATCCATTAGACTTTAGGTATCTAAAGATAGTATTCAATTGTTTTTTGAAGATTTTTGTAAGGCGAAGCATGCAAAGGATCACCGAAGACAATCTAGTTTTAAATTCAATTCACTCAGAATTGAATTTAAATGTTGAATGTTCGACTGGGTTTTACGGTTAAAGGCCTATTATAATAAAGAATCGTTCAACTAATACCTTAGTTCATTATGTTTACCTTGCCAATATCAAACGCATTCTTATCCTTAAGTCTTTTAGTCTCCTGGAAAACAAATGAGCTTTTCAGCAGTTGACAAAACTTAACGCAAAAACGGAAACTAAGAAAATACATTCACTACTCTTATTACTTGGCATCAAAAACTGCAAATAGCAAGTGACAACGGAAAAGCCTATTACTTCTAAAACAATCAGATAATTGTTTGTTTTAGGCTCTGTTAGGTTATGGAGATTTAGACGTTCTGATCTTGTAAAAGCAGAACAAATTTGTCGAGAATGTAACCTATTTGTTTTTAGTAACGAGAAATCCAAAAGGATTGCCCAATTTGGGTCAGGAAAAAACGCGTTGACTATAAAAACCCTGTACAGTGCCGTTTAACCCAATCGGTTTACAGGAAATGTTCAGTTAAAAGCCTTTTCAGCTGTTAAAGCTCTTTGTCGTTGAAAGTTAAAAGTTGTTGGAAGCCAGCCAGAGCGCTGCGTAGGGCTGAGATCCTCAGAAATTCAATTGAGCGCGCACCGGCTGCCTGATCCCGATCGACCGAAATTGCATTTCAAAGTGTTCCAAAATATTTCTCGAACTCCGATCCTAGGCATGTTTTCAAAACAAATTTTTTTGACTGGGGATCTTCTTTCTGATTCGGCGTCTTTTTTCTTCATTGAGAGACCCGTCTCTTTGGCGCGATAGCGAGCACGTGGCTACTCCAATTAAACCATCACTTGGCCATCAGCGAAGATTTTGCCTCACGGAATGCTCATTTTAACTGAAATTCTAAGGGAAATCGCTGATGTCCTGAAACCGTAGACAGAAAGTAAAGAAAGAAAAGAAAGTAAACAACAGGTCGAACCTTCTCATACCTAAATAAGAAAGATTATTAATCGTTTGACGTAAGGTTATGTTTAATTTGTTTCTAGGATTTTTCTTTTATTGCAAATTTGAACCGTCTACCTTTCTTCGAGTGTGATAAAATCGGGTTTTTAATAGCAAGCTTTCGTCCAAATCAATATAACTAACTTTTAAGCTTTTGAGTGGAAACATAAAGTCTGAATCTTAAGTAAGCGCAGGGTTATTCAGCTCAGTTTGTGTGGTAGAAGTAGTACAATATATAAATACTTGAGATATCTTGAGTGTTCAGAAGCTGAGTAATTAAAGCAAAACAAATGTTTCAAGTTTAATTCACAAAAAAATTCACTTTATATAAAGGATGATCCATGATGATCATGTCATCGTCGTAGAATCCGAACCAGAAACAAAATCGCATTCAAGTCGCTTCAACAGACAAATATTGAACATCAATTTCAGAATCTATGTGTATAAATAAGCCTAGATTTATAAACAAAAATATCAAAATCAAGTCTATAAATAAGTCTAGATTTATAGACATAAATTTCAGAAGGTGTTTATAGACATAAACAAAGGTGATTAAATGCAAATCTTATAGTATTATAACAGACTTGTATGACTTGTATGCCTTGTATTCCCCAGCTCTTTCATTTGTTCTCCTCAAATCCTCCATCCAATACAATGGGAATTTCAAGGTCTAGACTCAAAATTGAGTCTGTGACAATGCGATAATCTCTTCCTTTTTCTCATTAGAAGCTTTCCTTTTCTTTCTATCACAAGTCATTCCA